GTCAAGAGGACTACTCCATGAATTTTGTGATTTCATACTTTGATGGTGTCATCAAGGGGCCACAACATTCTTTGTTCCCTTTCCCTTAGGATTTCTTTTCTCTTTACTTGGATTTTTCCATTTCTAAAAATTTTTCTCTCTCCTGCTTGGATTTACTTTTCAGATTGTTATAGTCATCACAGGTATTATCATTTTCTCAGCAGTCAGCAGGGAACAGAAGGATTAATGAAATTGAGGAAAAGGAACCACAGCCCTGCTCCCTGCGTGGAAACAAATCTTCAAAGCCCGTCTTCTCAGATTCCTGAGGGAAAGCCTCGTTTGCTGCCATTCCAAAATTGGGAGCTCAAAAGAAGATATGCGCTGAGGAAAATAGAGCTTCACAGCTTGGGCCTTATCATGAAGCCTGTAGCCTGAGCAACTCTAGGTGTTTCTCAAATACAGGACACAGCCATGCTCAGGAAATTGGGGACCTTTAAAAACCCTGGCATCTTCAACCACCACAAGACTTCTGTTCCAACAGGAGCACCACAGAAGGCATTCCTTCCTAAGTGGAATAGATATAACACCTATTGCAGGTCCCTAACTCAGAACTTCTGATCTGCCTGATTGATTTCCATGCATTGTTTGGCTCCAACCAAATATTTTGTGTCCTAAATTAGTCACTGCCCTGTCCTCTGTAAATTCTCTGTCTGCAGATGTGGCCTGGTTAGGCTTACCAGATATCTGAACAGGCAAAGGAGGACATGGACAATTGGAAAGGAGGACAAATGGGGGAAAGAGGACACACTGTTTAACTTTCTTGGCACCCACAACAAAAATTACAGCAAAATAGGCCTACATATATATGAAATTACTTTTTCCAGCAGTAGAAAGACTGCAGTATTTTTTTAACAAATCTTTATTTTCAAGAACATATGCTCGTGAAAATATAGGATCAACCAAGTGCTTTTCAAATTTCACCATAAAAATGTATGACAAGCCATGTGATCTACAGACTACAGCGATCCTAAATTTGAAGGGGTTGGATTGAAGCCAGTTGCTAGAATCAGGAAATAAAATAACATAAATCCAAACTGTTGAGTCTGTCGACAGATGAGGGAAAGAAGCAATTTACAAGGTCACAATACACAAAAGTTTGAATGACTACTGTTGTGAAAACAGTAAAAAAAGAAAAAAGACACATAAAAAGCCAGACAATATTTGATTTTAAGGTTATGCCTGATGGGCAAAGGACATGAAGACAAAAAGGACATGTCCTCATTTTGCCAGACATCTGGTAACCGTAGGCCTGGTTCCTTCCTTACTGCAAAAATGTTACATCTTTCAGGAGTCTGGTAGCACCTTTTCTAACAAATGTTATTAAAAAGCATAAGCTTTCATGATTCACATCTGATGAAGTGATGTGCAGCTCCCAAAAGCTTCTGCCTTAAAGTTGTTGGTTGGAAAAGGTGCTACAGGCTCCTGATTTTTTGCCACATTTTTGCCAGACTACCACAGCTGTCTTCCTATAATGTGAGTTCTTTCAGCCATCCTAGCAGTCTGGAGACTCTGCTTACTAAAGTTTCCCACACTTGTTGCCAATAAAGGAAATAAAAGAAAAGAACCACAAGTGCCAGTAAGAGAGTTTTTAATTTGGCCCAACGGAAAATATTACACAGAGCACACCAATCGTAGTTTGTGGACATTCCAGAAGCACCCTTGAAAAAGGATAAAAAATCTCAAAACATGTTGAGCCAAATAAAAGCAGCTTTTCTACTGGCATTTGGGACTCCTCCCTCTCACTCTTGTTCACTTCTAGATCTACTTTCCTCTTCCACCATCTATGCTGGTGGATACTTCTCCGTAAGTCAAGATGTATTTTCTGCTCTTGCCATATAGAGTGGAAATAGCCTTTCTTGGGGAAATGGATACAAAAATTCTGGAAATGCTAAAACTGACTCCATTACTTGGGTTTTTATACTGTGCTAAGTCATAATGTGGGTTCTTTGATCATCATCAACATGGTTTGTATTACACAGTGCTATTTGGGTCCATGTTACTTAGCTACAAATAGATTTTTTTTTCTGGGTTTGACAGACATGCCCCCTGCTGTAGCTTTAATAACAAACAAGTGTTCTTTCAATTACTCTATTTATTGCAGCAGGAAAATGTACAGAGGAAAGAAAAAAACAATTGATCCCCTTTTAAATAAGGCAAAGTATAATCCTAACATACCAATTAAAGATGTTTGGCAAACATATTGTTCTACTTTTTATGGAAGTTCTTAAGAGAACCAGAACTTCCTTTCACTGAGTTGCAATACATTTCTCCCCCAGCCCTTTTGAGAATAGCTTTAGCCATCTGCATACACAACTTCAGCATTTCCTTAATAATTATATTATGACTACAGTTTGGATCTCCTTAGTGCTTTTTGCCATGTGAACAGCAAACAAGCATTTCTGAACATTCAAGGATCCGCTCTCCACTATGTATTTTAGTTTTATACATAACATAGACAGAATGTTTCTGAACATGTGTCTTCCCCATACATTTTGTAGATCTTATACTGGAAATAAGAATAGCTAGTATGGCAAAAAGATTGCTGTAAATATCTATATGGCAGTCCAGCCACAATTTATTCATACAGTTACGGAAAACAGATTTTTCTCAAGTCATGAATGACATTGCTAGGATATGGTAGCAACTTTCATCTAAACACATCCCAATTGATCAGATCATTCCAAGTCATCACAGTATTTAAAGGGTTAAACAACATTGCCCAGGGCTAAAGAGAGTATTAAAGGAGAATTTCAGCAGATCAATGCAAGCCAAGATTTGTTTTTCCTTTGGAAGCCCTCCTTCTTTCTCATCATTGCAGGCAAGAACCAATCTTGAGAAATTGCTTCTGAACTGGAGGATCGCTCTAAATCAGATTCCATTCATAATAGCCCTCCAGATGTTCTCCTCACCAAATTCCTGCCTGGAGGTATATATTCATTTTACAGAGTTATCAAGAGTGATGGTGGTTGGGAGGAACAGACTCCAAAACCTGCAGAATCCAGCACGTCTTCACAAGGCATTTCCTCGGATTTGTGTTTGGCTCCTCTGCTGAAAAAGAAAGAGTTTCAGAACTGTACAGCACTGCCCGATCTCCCTATGACAGAAAGATACATGGTGGTGGTGCCCATCTGTATGCTACATTGGGCTTTGTCACTTGACCCTTTTCTTAGATTCTTTTAATTTAGAAAATCTCAGAAATCCCATTTATGTTTATTCAAGAAACTCATTTGGGTGAGCATGATAAAAGCAGCAACTGGATATTACACAGTATATTTTTTGTTCTAACCTGCCCACTCCATCATTTTAGATGCAGACATTTCAAGGACAGCCTGATTAGTGTATTCAGTAATTGCTCCAATGACCATGGGCTCACTCAGGTACAGGTAGTCCTCGCTTAACGACCGTTCATTTAATGATGGTTCAAAGTTATGACAGCCTCAGAAAGGGTGCTTTATGGCACATAAAGCACTTCCAGCCATCGTAAAATGTTGCGCCACCTCCACCCCCATGGTCATGCCACGTTTCAGGTGCCTGGCAACTGGCTCACATTTACGACTGGTTGCCAAGCACCCCAGGATCATGTGATCACCATTCTCTTTCGTTCTGTCCACTTAACAACCCAGGAGATTGCTTAATGACTGCAACCGGGAGTGGTTGTTGAGTGAAACAGTCATGTGGGCATCTCGCTTAATGACCACTTTGCTCAATGATCAAGATTCTGGCCCCAATGGTGGTCATTAAATGACTACCTGTATGTTTTTTTTTTTTTTTAAACAGGACTTGATGAATACTATACTTATGCCTAAATAATACACTACATGAGACTATCCAGACCTAACGCTTAAGTGAGCATCCTAAGCAAGCATAAGTAGTCAAGCTGGTTTAATAATGATTCAAAAGAAGACCTCCAAGATATTTTGCCTCTCTACGGAGTTAGACTTTGCAGGAATACAGGGCAAGGAAAGACACCGCAATTAGGGCAAGTTTCTTTCAGCTGCAAATCCCCAGGCAGCCCCATTCTGTTGTAACAGGGTAATTGCCAACTTAGGACACTTTAGAAGGCAATTAGGCAAATTTCTAGAGAATAAGGCTATTAGCAGCTCCATGTATATTGCCTTCAGTATCATAGGCACGTACATATACTTGTTCTTGGAAAACACGAGTAAAAGGATGCATCTGTCTGTAGACATCCCAGAGGCATCGAGCTGGTATTTTGGAAATAAAAAACTGGCTAGATGGGCCTTCAGCTTAAACCAGCATACTATTTATGTTATTACACAGCAGAGACCAATCACTGCAGTCCCAACTGTATCCTTGGTCACATCAGACTTTGTCTTTTCCCCTGTCCATAATTTAAAGGCTCTTATCTAACTATTCTGGGTTCTGCAAAACCCCCCACCCTTTTCCATTTAAAATATGTTGGTGTGAAAACATCAGAGCACTTCCTATTTCCCCCTTTTTGGTGACAACATCACTACTAGTGAATTTCTACACCAAGCCACACTGACCCCTAAGAGGTATTTCTTAGGAGGAAGGACAAGAAATACACATATGTCACTCTTCTTCGGCATCCACAAAGTATTAATCGGCAAATCCATGCAGGAAAAACGTTTGGTTAGCTAGAGAAAATAACTAGCAACAAGGGTCGGACACCATTGATACAAGCAGCCTTGGTCTTTGTAGTTTCCTCACCAGTAGTGAAGATAGACCCTATGTCTAATGGTTACCATTCTTATCATCTCAATTGCCACTTATATCAACATTATAAGATATAGCTTTGATACCAGTTTTACTTTAGGAATCTCCACAGAATCCTGGGGACTATAGTGTGTGTTGGGAATTCTCTTTAAAATTCCTTATCATACTCCTTGAGTTGCATTTCTCAAGGCAGAAAAAAAAATCCCCAGGTTAAGATAGAGTTCAAAGTTACCTGATAGAACAGATGGCAAATGGAGCTCAGCCTAGGAAAGCCTGCTTGTCCCTTTGCCTCCCTTTCTTCTCAAGTGAGATCTCCAAGCTTTGTGAAGTTGCTGGTGTCTAAGGAGACTTGGATGGTGACAAAAGCTTTTCCCACACTTACTGCAGATGTAGGATACCTGCTTGGCATGGGACCTCAGATGCTGAGCAAGCTTAGAACTGGAAACGAACATCTTCCCACACTCAGCACAGCCAAATGGCCTCTCGCCCGTGTGAATTCTCTCGTGCATATTTCGGCTGGACAAATGGCTGAAGCATTCCCCACACTGGCGGCAAGCATGGGGTTTTTCCCCCGTGTGAGTTCGTTTGTGCCTGTTGAGATTTGAGACGTAGCGAAAGTTCTTCCCACAGTAGAGGCAAGTGTAGGGCATCTCCCCTGTGTGGACTCTCAGGTGCTTCACCAAGTCTGAGCTCTGGGTGAAGCTTTTCCCACACTCAGGGCAATTATAGCCATTTGAGGCATTCCCCTTGTGAAACCTCTGGTGGATAAGAAGACTGCGGTGCTGCCGGAAAGTTTGTCCACATTCAGAACAGAGGTAGGGCATCTCTCCCGTATGAATCCGTTGGTGGATGAGCAGGTTGGAACGCTGAGCAAAGCACTTACCACAATCTGAGCACAAGTGAGGCCTTACCCCTGCGTGGAGCTGCTTGTGTTTAAGGAGGTTTGAGCTCTGGCGGAAACACCTTCCACAGTGAGGACAGGGATAGGGAGTCTCCCCTGTGTGGATCCTCAGATGAATGGTGAGACTCGACTGTTGAGCGAAGGCCCTCCCGCACTTGGGGCATTGGTAAGGTCTCTCGCCTGTGTGGATTCTCTGGTGAGTTAACAAGCTTGGGCTCCGCCGAAAGTTTTTCCCACATTCCAGGCACTGGTAGTTTCTGGGAGCTGGCTGAACGATGGGAAGGATACCAGCTTTAGTCCCAGCATCACACTTCCCTTGTTCTCTTACTTCATCACTCGTGGCCTCCATGTTGGGCTGAAAATGAGTAAGAGGCAAAATGGATTAGCAGTTCAGACATCAGCATACAGCACAGGACGCTATCTGGAGCCAGTGTCTTTAGTTTTTTAGGAATGCTGTTAAAAATAACTTGGATCGAGGACATGTAAAGTCATTGTTCCTCTGTACATGGCACTGGTGAGACCACCCCTGACTATTGTATACATTTCTGGGCACATTTGCAAAATACTGACAGGTTAGATAGTGCTCAGAGGAGGTAAATGAAGATGGTGCAGGGCCTTGAAGAGATGTTGAAAGAATTTAGGGTGTTCAGTCTGAAAAAAACACTGAGGGGAGATCTGATAGCCTTGTTCATGTGCATAAAAGGAAGCTATAGGAAAGATGGTCAAGAACTATTTTCCATGGCCACAAAAACGGGCTATAAATAAGGGCTATAAGTTGCACCTAGATTTAATTTAAATATAAGGAAAACTTTCTGTGGAAAGATCTGTACAAGAGTGGAACAGTCTACCTACGGAGGTTGTGGGTTCTGCATCTCTGTAGGCTTTGAAGAAGAAACTGGACAGCCATCTCTCAGGGATGATTTAATTGGCTTTCCCACATATTGCTGAGATTGATCTAGAGAAGATCCTTGTGGTCCCTTCCAAATCTACAATTCTGTGATTTTATGAAAATGCAAAATTTATTTTATTCACTAATAAATATGAAATCTTCACTTATCGATGGCTAGTATAGGCACACTTTTCTATAAACTGACTTCAAGTTGCACTGAAGATAAGCATGTAGAGAAAAAACATTCTGGATGGTCTACAGGTTGCACTAAAAAAACTCTGCAAAAGCCAATTCTAATCAAAAATGTTATTTAGCTTACTTGTAGCTAAGGAACCAAGATGAATTGCTATTTTTTTAAACTGTGGAAAGAATCCTACTGGATCAAACTAGTGGCCCATCTAGATCACTCTTTTGTGTCACGTACCAGCCAAGTAGATGCATTCAGAGATCATGGATGACAACATAGCTTTCTGCTGTTGCCCCCTAACAGCTAGTATTTAAGGTTTGCTATCTGTGAATCTAGAGAGAATAAACAGCCATAAAATCTACTGGTCACAGATAACATGATCTTCCATTACTTTCTTCTCTCCCCCTTTATAATTAACAGCTATCATATCTGAAGGCTACAAATTCCACAGTTCAACCATCTACCATTTTCAGTCTTGTGCTTTTAGCTTCAGTGAGTGATCCCAAGTTCTAACATTCTGAGTGAGAGGAATTCTCTGTATCCAAATTTTCCACACCATACAGTACTTTACATAACTCTGTATGTTGACTGAATCATCCAATGTCTATGGCCGTCCAAAGAAAGTCTGTTCCCTACATTTACTCCAACCTTCAAAGCCCAATTGCTGCTGTCTTCTCTCACAGAGGAGCCTAGTCCTGTCTTCATTTTGATTGCTGTGGTTTGCCTTCTTTCCAGCTCCGTAATACCCTCTTTAAGACACAGAGCCCAGAATTGTACACGGCATTCTAAGCACATAGGTAATTGCATAATGTGAAAATACTCTTTGCTAGAGAACCGAAGACCCTTCACATATATTAGGGAACTAGGACCAGCTGCCTTCTTTCTTTCACTGGATTTATTTCCTACTCTAATTTCAAGTCAAACAATTCTAGATCACCTACATCTAAAACTGACATTATCTATACCTGGCAAGGCACCTGTGCCTTTGGCAGCTACACAGCTCTGTGTACAACCTGCAGACAGAGGCATCCCCAGTACGCAGATGAGGAATGATGAAACTGCACCTGCTTTGTGTTGAAAGCACAAAGCCCTCTTAAAGTAACATTTCCCCATAGGGTGGCAGTCCCCAGATCTTAGACTGCAGACCCTCTCTGTCTGTTGGCTAACAGAAGATACAAACTGTAGAGCCAACCCATTCCAAGGACACAGACCATGGAAAACACTCCTTAAAAGAGAAAGTGAAAGGAAAGAAGGCCTTCATGAAGAAGAGGAAGACACAGGGCCATAGCAAGCAAACCCCACTGCCTCAGGAACCCTTGGGATAATTAAACCGAGCAACAGAGGAAAACAGTCAAAGCAATTTCTAAGGTTCAGCTTCCAAAGAAACCACAGCTTAAAAAAAGCCACCACCCATCTCCCTGATTCCCAGTTTCACATAACTGTCATGCAACACTTTACGCACCTCGGCTGCTTTAACCCAGCACAGCTGCTTCTTGCTTAAAGCTTCCACCTAGGCTCTTCAGAAAGAGGCCCTCCCTTGGGGGAGGTCAGCTATATAGGGTCTCCTCCCATGGGTGGGGTCCCAATGGTGGTAAGGGTTTCATTGAAAAAACTTTTCTAGGAACTCTGTTAATTAGGGGGGAAACTCTTAAAGAAATGTCACAGAAATATAAGATTCCAAAGGAGATGGCCTGGATAATCTGTTTCAGAAAAAAGAAAAAAGTCTTGGGCCTCTCTGGAGATTTTAGACCAGTGTTTCTCACCCTTAGGAACTTTAAGATGTGTGGACTTCAACTCCCAGAATTTCCTAGCCAGCATGGCTGGCTAGGGAATTCTGGGAATTGAAGTCCACACATCTTCAAGTTGTCAAGGTTGAGAGATACTGCTTTAGACAGTGCATGGTAGTGGGAGGATGGTTAGAATGGGGGATGCAGTTTAACCTGGCAAGTAGGGAAGAAGTAAACTGAAGATTGCCTAGGAGTGAACACAGCGGGGCTTGCTAAGAGGTGCCAGTTCCTCTACTGGGAAAGAAGCATTTTATATTATTTAATTGCTGGTGCTTCACAACCAGCAGGGGAAGAACATGCTGGAAGGGGCAGATCAGCCAGAACAGGCAGTCAATGCAGGGGCCACAGATAGTAAGGCTAGTAACTATTTAGTAGCTCCAAAAAGTTGCTGATTCTCTTGATAGGGCTGTGCAGTGCTTGGGATTACAAGGCCAAAAGGGACTTCAGAATATTGGGGTGGGGCTGGGAAGGGATGTCTACAACTTCTTAACAACTGTGTCTTTTCTTGAGATTGGGTGGCAGCTGCATGATCTTTGATTTCTTTGGAGATTTCTCTAATGGGAGATAATGAGGCATAGGCCCCAGTGGGTGAAAAATGACAAACAGCAGCACGGGAAAATGATGATTTGATTAACCTTCCAGTTCAAACACAGAGCTCTATTTTTGTAGAGCTCTGCTTGGCATTTCTTTCCATGCCTGGATTTTCTGGTGCTTAATGAAGTCTGGCTGAAGTTTTCCCTACCTTCCTGGCCCTCATGAGGTCTCTTGCCTGTACGTAGCTTTCGTGGAAGCTTTTTCTCAAGTCCAGACAGGTGTTTGATTTTTCACCTGGGTGAATTTCTTGATGCCAAAGGCAGACATCCCACAGTAGTTCTTCCCATGTATAGCACTGAAGTGAAGCTTCAGCTCAACCAGGTGGGAGTTCAAAGAGAAGCATTATTATACTCATGACAAATACATGGTTTCTCAGCCATATGGATTGTCCCATACCTAATAAGGGGCCAAACTTTTCTCATGGACTGAACTCTTGTACATTTTCCCTCCAATGTGAATCCTTAATAATTCATCAGATTCGCGCCCACAAGGGAAAAAAAATCTTGGAAGGCTAGCAATGAAGGCCTTGGAAAAGATAGTCAGATGCCATGACAGGTCTGTACCTACAAAGATCAGAATCATGCAGGCAATGGCTTTTGCTGTGTCACGAAATTGGACTTTGAAGAAGCAGGATAGGCACTTTTGAACACTGGTGCTAGAGAAGACTCCTGAGCATAATGTGAATAGCCAAGAAAACAAACAGATGGATTGAATCAATCCAGAGTTGTCACTCAAAACACAAATGACCAGGCTCAAATTATCGTATTTTGGACATATATGCAGTTCCCTTGAAAAATCCATAATGCTGAGAAAGGTGGAAAGAAAGAGAAGTGGGGCAGTAGCAAGGTGGGTGGACTCCATTATAACACCCATGAGTGATTGTTGGAAGGACAAGATGAGGGACAGATCATCCTGGAACAATCCATCTATGTGGTTCGTAAGAGTTGCCACCAATCTGATGGCACATGATCAATTAATAATCAAATCCAAATATATATTTGGGTTTCACCTAATCTATGGCCCTTCCCCCCTGCCCCCATATTATATAAGTACATTCCTTAGCCACCCAAAGATTACCCATTCCTGGCTTGGTGTGATCTATGAAGTAGGTTAGGGTGCCTATAGCAAAACTAGAATTTGAAAAATGCAGGATAAAGTTGTTATACACTGGAACAGGCTAGTCCTGCATCATCTCTAACCTCACTTATTTGGCGGTAATTCTAAATTCATTCCCATGGAATTCACAAAGACCTAATTCCAAGTAAACTTGACCAGCATCTTACTACTGTTTAAGTAATTGCTTAGAGTTGGGTATGACTGAAGTGACCTTCAGGCCTAAGGAATAATTAAAAATTGCATAGGAAGGTTTGAATTGTATCTATGGATCTATTTGATTTATATCCTATCTTTCATTCAGGAGCTCAATGCAACATACATATTTTTCCTGTGAGGGAGGTTGGGCTGAGAGAGAGTAACTTGTCCAAAGTCACCCAGTTAATTTCTGTGGTTAAGGGTGGTCTAGAATCTGGGCCTCCTTGGCCCTATTTCAGCCCCTTCACCATTATGCCACCCAGGCTCTCTGTTCTACTAAGAAGAAATTCTAGTTTGCCAGCACAGATGAAGTTCAAATTACCTACCAATGTGTGATAATTGTACTGACAAAACATCTTGAATCTCAGACTAGCCATTCACCTAGCATGTTGTATAAACCCAGCCCACATGAGTTAATAGTTACTGAGTTAATGGCTCAGTGTGTTGTCCTTCCTCAGGGTTAATTTAATGAAGCACAGTTAACTATAAATAAATGTGTCATGTAAACACTCAGAGTTTGTGAGCTTCCCTGCAAATCTTCCAATAGCTCTGTACCTTCCACACCAAACTCATGCAAATAC